TCAGATGAGGAAGAACACGTAATTAAATTCCTTCAGCAGCTGCTTGCATTTTGAAGCAGCACGCAGAGCCCCGCACAAAGTCCATCTCCTCCTTCATGTGATTTTGTGCTCAGGCTCAGTAAAAGGACATAGAATAGCTCATTTTCCTTCTGATAAACCCATTTTCCATAGTAGAAGTCAGGCTGTGGTCATTTCTTTCCAGCAGGAGAAAACTGATTTTCTTCCGCCACTTTCCTAATCTAATGCAGAGGTAAAGACAAATAGAGGAACCAAATTCAAAGTGGAATCTAACTGATCCTGTGCAAGGAATCCCAGTTCCACACCAAGTTCTTGAACATAAGTTCCCCAAGCCATAACAGTTGCTTAAAATGATTTGCCTCCAAATGTCTTGGAAGCCTGCAGAGGTAGGTCTGGTCTACATTTAAGATACACTAACATGCTTATGATGACATAGGAATTAATTTTTTCCATCCTAGGAAAAGGCCCAGAAAAACTTACACTGGCCCCAAAACACAGACAAACAGAAAAGGAGACAGATCTTTTTGGGCAATCAATTTAAACTGGGTCCAAACAATGTTTCCAAAAGACTGTGAATATAACCTTTTTAAAGTCCAAGTTACCATTCTGAAGTACAAATAGCTGACAAACATTGTATTTATCATAGAACAAATTAAACAGGGATGCTTCCTTTCCCAACTCTAACATAGGCACCAAAATCTTGCATGGAAAAAAATTCCCTAGCTTGCTGTTTTATATATACCCTCAATTTAAGCTCAAGGAAAGCAAGCCAATCCAGAAATTAGCATGCAACAAGAACTTGATTACACTCAGCAAATGAAATAAAGGAAAAATGAATCCCAAGGAAAATAACTGAAAATTAGGTAATTGGAAAAGGGGCACAAAACTCCAAACCCCAGACTACCCAAAACAGTCAGGGGGAGGGGAAATTCACCTCTTGCAGACTTTGCTCTAACACAGTGCATGAGATCACATCCTTCCATTCCTTCACAAAGCCCCAGACTTGCAAGTAGAGTAATAACTGCCTTGCAAAATAAAGCATCTCAATTTCTGAACAGCCAGAATACATTTTTTAAAAGGGTACCCGTCTCTCAAAGTATTAAACATTTTGCTTCTCGATGTAAGTAACTTTCTTAATAATTTTCACCTTTGCACTGTTCAACGTAATGGAACAAATAATACATGATGCACAAATAAGTCACAATGCTCTGTGCAAGTTATTAGGAGCAGTGAGATGCTGAATGTGTGATAAATCTAGTCCTGACAGTGAAATATGCCTCCTAATTAAAAATCAATTATTTAAAACAGTAAAGAAAGAAAAAGGAAAAGACTTCTCCCCAAACTCATAATAAAATCTGGGAGACTTCAGAGTTATTTGAAAAGCAGAAAGAAACCTTCGACATCTATATTTAACTAAAGATTCTTCTAAAACTCTATTGTGAGTTTCTCAATTTTATGATTAAACAGTTCTGTGAAAAATTGTTTCTGGTATCTTTTGTACTTTTATCTCTTCATTCCAAATAGCCATAAAAATGAAAAGACATCATTCAAATTTGGAATGCAAGAACAAATCATTACTTCAGCTCTGTGAAATCAAAGCACACCGAAGCCCTGATGTGACTCCAAGGTGACATGGGAATGATGATGAGCAGCCACCCAAAGTAACCAGGACTTACAAGCAAGTGTGCCACATTTACCAACAATGGTGCCCACTGGATTCCTCAAAAGGTCTACTCCAGAAGCTATTTCAACCACGACTATTGAGTATTGAGTAATTTGATCAGGGCTTACAGACAATGATTTCCAACTATTTTGTTTGATTCTGGAAAAGTTTCAAACACAAAACAGCTTAAAAGCAGCTCAAAATCACAAATACTTTTGCCTCAACTTGAGCAAGCTGAAATTTCTGTTTTTCCTTTTCTGTGAAACTAAGATACGTATTCATACCCCCAGCAGTGACAGAGAGATTTAATTAACCAGCATTACTGAAGAGATCTGAATCCAATTAATGGAGAAACTATACTGGTATATAAATATTCAGCCTCAATCAAAAGAAGATGTTGGTGTTTACATATATAATAAAGTTTTAATAATTCACCAGCAATATTGCATGCCAACTACTGCTACCACTTACTTGTGGAAAAGGGGAAAAAAAAAATCATACCTGGGATTTTAAAACCAAATGCTCTCAGCTGAAGGAAAGGATCACTTCTGCATAGGAGTGCACACTGGCAATAGCAGGTTCATTGCTCAAGAGGCTGCAGTAGCACGGGCCTGGGTTTCATCTGCCTCTGATGGCAGTGGATCACTGTACTCTGCGCCCTCAGTAAGCCCAGCCTGAACACAGTGTCCATATTTCTCTGGTCTGAAGGAATACAGCCGCCGTGCCACCTCAAGGGCAGGTTGCAAACTGTCCAAAGTCAGGTGTAATTTTTAAGCAAAATTCTCAGCCTTTTAGCCTGAGGAAGTTTAGTAAACCTAAACGAGCCCACTCTACAGTGGAAGGGACCAAGGGTAAGGTGGCTGCCCTACCCCAGAGTAGCTCATAGCCCCTCTGGAGTGCAGCAGTAAGCAGTCAAACTCTAAGCCACAAAGCAACCAATCTGGGTATTTTACCTCCATCATCAACCAACAGGATGTGGGATTATCCTCCACCAGAGATGACAGGAACTGGGATTGCACTGGGCGCTGTTTGCAAGTGTTTGGAAGCAGCTTGGCTGTGAGGAGGCCTCCTCTGTGAGAGGTCAGGACTGCTGAATGCTGGCCAGCTGCAGCTCCCCAGCACACCACACCCTGTGCCAAAATTTGACCCACCAGAGGTGTTTCTGGCACTGCTGTGAAAGCTTACTTCAGAAAAGCAGCAAAAGCCAAAAAGCAACGTCAGGGCATAAGGGGAACCGAGAGAATGGGAAGAAAGGAGCAGCAGCAGCTGCCCTCAGCGCTGCCGCCATGAGGAGAGGGGCCAAGGCGGGAACGGGGCAGAGGCCCGCACCCAGCTCCTGCACCTCTTTTTTTTTTTTAACCCCCAATCCAAGAATCAGTCATCAGAAGTTCATCAATTGCCAATAAACAAATCAGAGATTTTCAGCCTTCATTTTGGCTGACGGAGGGAAAAACACGCAGGAGAGCTATGTAGTTGAGCACATGTTTAATCTGCAGGGGAAGGGGAAGTGAACTACACCTCTGGCCATGAAGCAACATGACTGCTCACTGCTGCAACCAGAGCGACTTCCCCTTGTTTGATTGTCCACACAGGACATCATGGAGAAGCACAGAGCTGCACAAATCCCTGCCTGGCCCCGCCATGCTCAGCAGCAGAGACCGACATGGCGCTGCGTGTGGGTGCCCAGACAGCACATCTGTGGGGTGCTGCTTGCCTGCACGTTCCCTCAGTTAAATTACTTCAGATTCTTAAGTGATTCATCTTCTTTGAACAAACGTCCTTCCCTTCCCACGGTTAAGGCATGAAACACAGGTCAGACACAGTGACAAAATCAACTCCCCAACTGTGTGGCTGTCCGGCTCAGAGCAGTGGTGGGGAAGGCAGAAAAAACATCCCTAAAAGACAGGAGAAGTCCCCTACGCCATGGAGAGAGGGCCACGCTACCAAGCGCCATGCTGAAAAGATATCAACTTTTGAAGTACAGTCCAGCTGAATAAATACCACTGAAAGTCAATAACCAAATCCTGTTAGGAGCTGCAGTGCTCTGGGAACCTGATTGGAATTTGAACATTTGCATTGATTTTTTTTTCACGTTACCAGCTGGGAGTAAGCAGAGGAGAGAAGGTACGCTGATTGCTCCATGGGAACACGACTCGCTAGCGAAGGATTACCTTTTAAAGGATTATCTTTTAAACAAAGAAAAAATCGGTATACTGCAAGCAACTAGCTCAAATCAAAAGAAACACATTAATCCAACGGGATTATCAGGTAAGGCTTCCATATATTTAACATCCAGATACACAGCTGAGAAACACGAACCATTTTATTTAGATGTCTCGGCGCAGTTGTCAAGCACCTTTTCATGTGACAATCCCATGCTCATGATTCACAAATAAGGGCTGCTTATTCAGTTAAGGTTGTTAAAACAAAAGCCTCACAAGCAACAGCAATTTTCTTTTTTTTTTTTGCAGAGCCCTTTCCTTTACCCTTGCATATGTAAGCTCTGATCATCAAGTCCTTTTAACTCCAGCCAGGAAGAAAGATTAGTAGCTGCCTGCATTGCTCCTACATTGTGAAATTTCCAGAACTGAGCTCTTTTACTTCCCTCTGGGAGGCAGGGTAAGTAACAGAAAACTGAAATCATGCACTGCATGTTTTTCTCCTGAATTGTAACACTCATGTTAGCTCCTGCAGTATTGCAAAAAGCCAAATAGCATCGATGTTCAAAAAGGAAACATATTTAGAAACAATGCTCATTAAACGCACTTGTGCCTCTGTCTTACTAGTAGATATGTTGGTAGCATCATACACAAACGATTTGTACTGAAATCCATTTCATAATTCAAGCAGGAATGGGGTAAGGAAACAAGTGAAAAAGAAGTGCAAAGATAAAGCCACATCACCTGACTAACATGACATTCTACCTTGCTTTATTTTTGTAACTTTTTTGAAACCATTAAGATGCATTCAAAATTCCCCTAAAGTAACTGAAATAAAAAAAAAAATCTAATTACTTAACCACAGTATAGAGTAACACACAGTTTGGTTCCCAAATATTTTGGTCAGCCCCACACACAGGTCACCCCTACTTCATATCCTAAGAGGAAAATTAATTCAACAATAGTCACAAACTCTGTTTTTTGATGGTATCAAACGTTACTGACTTTACTGGAATTTCCCCCTTAATAATTTTACTGTCCCACGTTAAGACAGACTGTTTTATAAGGAACAGAACACTACATTTCCTCAGCATATATTCCACAATCAGAATAAATAGTACACTACAGAATAACAGAATTGTAGGGGTGGGAAGACTTACCTCCTCCACCTCCAAGAAGGCTGGAATTAGCTGCAAGAAGAACAAAAGGAGAATTGTTAGTTGAGAGCTTCCTAAATATAGTTGGAACCAAAGCAGAAGATGTTTCACAAAACATTTACCATTGCTTTTATTTCAATAATTTCACCAGTCTCCACTTACCCAAACTCATTACTCATTTACCCAAATCTATGTAATTTGTAATCATAATCTTTACTTTTACACAATTTTGCAATATCTTTGAGCATGTAAGCTAATAAATAAAATAGAACAAAATTATTAAAGTTTAATGCACGGAATAACTTATGAAATTACAATCTTGAATTTATAATTCTATAAAGCACATTTATTTTTGATTACCAAATGAAGTATAACAGTCTTTCATTTCAGAGAAACTTTGATGCAACTTTTCATTAGCTCCCCACATCTTCTAAGACATGGGACTTTTGTGGACAGCTATGAGAAGCCCTGGCTCCACTAAAATCAGTGTGCTCTACTACAGTATGCAACTAAGCTGGGATTTCTCTCTGTATACCTGTTTCTGTACTATAACCATCTACCTATCCATCCCAGGAATGAATACATCACTTATGGAAGATGTTTTTCAGAGCATGGTGATGCACTGTGTTCCTCCAAATAAAGTTAGCAAAACTGGAGCCACACCAAGCATTTTCTTATCACTACAAAGGCAAAAACAGAAGGAAAACTTACGTAAAGCATTCACTCTTCAGATGGTTGGGAAACTGTTCCCTACCATATCATAACATTGTAAAACAGCATAAAAGCAACAGCATATGGGATGGATGCAGGTATTTCTTATTGCCTGTCCTGCTCCAGGACAAGATACATACAGTATTTTCCAGTATCCAGGCTATCTGTTGCTACAAGCTATTGTTTCTACTACTTCCCTTAGCTTCTTACCTAGAAGGCTTTAAACAGCAAATTTCCTGATATTATTTTTTTTCTGTGGCTTTCTTGAGGCTTTCACAGAAAACTGACAATAAACATAGTTTTCCTCATCTATTTTTCCAAAACTCTACATACATCTTTGACTTAATATTCACTTTCAGTTCAACTATTTGCAACTATTGAGTTTTCCCTCACACCTCAGCTTGTGTGATAAAATGGGAAGATCTCTCCCTCCCTTCTCCTTTCCTATCTTTCATCCCCAGAAAAGGATATCCCTCCTTCTGGCTGTTGGAATTCTTCCTTAAGATTCAGCTCCATAAATGAGGTGAAAACAAGCCTCTATTCTTTTTGATACTGTTTTTCAACACGTTATTGATGTGAACTGGCTCACAGAAAGATACACAAGAGGCAGAACTCTGACTAGGAAACAGACGATGACAGCAATGGAGTTTGGAGATAGGATCCTCCTTTTTGACAAACACAAACTGTTGTAATAGCTCCAGATTGTTAATGCCCCATTGACAGGAACACCTTCCAGTAGACCAGGGTGCCCAGTGCCCCATCTGACCTGGTCATGAGCACTTCAAGGGACGGAACCATAAACAACTTCTCTGGCCAACTTGGTTCAATGCCTCATCATCTTCACAATAATGAATTTCTTCCCAGTATCTAATCTAAATCTACCTTCTTTTAGTTTAAAACCATTACCCCTTGTCCTATTACTATACGTCCTTGTACAAAATATGGGGAAAATATCTTTTACATGCCTTACTTTAAGAATTAAAAGGCTGCAAGAAGGACTCCCTGGAGCCTCCTCTTCTCTAGGCCTAATAACTTCAGCCTCTACTCATAGCAGAGATGCTTCACCCCTACGATCATTTTTATGGCCCTTCTCTGGACCCGCTATGACAGATCCACATCTTTCTTATCTTGGAAGCCCCAGAGCTGAATGCAGTACTGCAGGTGGGGTCTCACAAGGGTGAAGTAGAGGTGGACAATCACTGTCCTCGACCATGTTTCTTTTGATACAGCACAGGACACAACTGTCTTGATGGGCTTCAAGCTTGCACTGTAAGCTCATCTCACATTTTTCACTCATTCATACCCCCCACTCTTTCTTTACAGAGCTGCTCTCAGTTCACTCATCCCCCAGTCAGTACTGATGTGGAATTGCCCCAACTCACGTGCAGCACCTTGCACGTGTTCTTGTTGAATTTCACAAGGCTCATCAGGGCCCGCTTCTCAAGCCTGTCCAGGTCAGCCTGGATGGCATCCCTCCCTTCTATCATATCAACTGCACTACTCAGTTTGGTGTCATCCACAAATATCACAGAGTGATATTGAACTTCAATCTCTCTATATTTACCTGCTCTTGTCCTCGTTGAAATTCAGTATTAAGGACAGACACAAACTGCAAACAGCCACATATTTTTACAGCAGCTTCCGAAGTACTCCTGTAACAGGTAATATCACCTTCCCTGCAGTAAAACGACCATATCTGAGATAAAAATCAGTGTACTTCATATCAGAATAAAATAAGAGTGACAGAATGTTATCTTCTGCCTGTCTGCTATTCAACATTACTCTTTTTGGCAATGTAGAATGCACCTGCAATCACCATTCTAGTTCTTGAATAAGTCAAATTCTAGGATTTCAGTCATTATCTCTGAGAGACTTGAGAGACATAGCTAAAATCTGCTGTACCTTACTGTCACAAAAGTTACCATTGGTAAAAACGATTCCTCTGAAATCCATCCAAGGTCCTCACTGCAAACTCTTATCTGCTGGCTTCTCTGAGAATTATGCTTTTCTCATGCATTTTTTTCTGATAATGTTTACTTTCCAATACATTCTAAAACTTGCTAATAACACATAAGTCAGCACCACACTCTTCTCTGTAGGAACAGCAAAAACAGTTCTAACAGATTTTTGGCTTCAGTGCATCTGTGGCAGCTTCAACAAAACATTCCACTCCATTTTTCACAGAATCATAGAATCATTAAGGTTTGAAAAGACTTCTAAATCATCCCGTCCAACCATCCATGTACCATCAATCCTGCCCACTAAACCATGTCCTGAGTACCACATCCCCACTGTTCTTGAACAACACCAAGGACAACAACTGAACCACCTCCCCAGGCACCCTGTGCCAGTGCCTCACCACTCTTCTGGAGGAGTTTCTCCTAGTATCCAGCCAACTTGGGAACTCTTGGGAAAGTGTTACCATTAAAGAAACACCCACTTGCTTAACACTGTAAGAACACCTTGCCCACAGCCAGAACTGGGGATTTTCACCTGGACTCAGAGAGCACAGCTCCAGAGCTGTAGCCCCATCACGTTACATTGGAGCAATATGACTTCTCCTTCCTTTATGTTAATCCACAGCTGCATTTCATCCAGCAGACAAGTCTTGCAAAACACTGGAACAGGGCTCCAGTTGTAGAGGTAGGTATGTATGAGCAACCAGCAGTGGGACTCTAGAAGCTTTCAGCCTCCAAAGCTGATGTGGTCTAAACTGCCTCCCAGGCTGCAGCCTTACGCTGTGCATGCACAGCTCTCCCACCCAACTCAGGGCATGCCCAGCCTTAAGTAGCACACAGGACAGTATCTGTGGATATCTCGTAAATCTATCTTGACTAACCTTGTGCCCTTATCTCTTTATTCCAGAGATGAATAGGATTCCCAAATCACACAAGATTTAGCAGAGTGGGGGAGGAGAATTGTTACCATTACTGAGCCAGAGGACAAGAAAGGAAAGTAAGTCTAAGAGGTACTACAAAGAAATGCACAGTAAGGACTTCCTGCACCTCCTTTCATTTCCAACATTATCCTTTCAAGCTGACCTGAGCAACCTATCTGAAGCCACCTCATTACAAACTACAATAGATTGCTGGGCATCAACTCTGAAAATCAATCACAATACATATCTTAAAATGTGATTTTAATATACACAGTTCCCTGCCAGACTGCAATATAACGCATGTTGATAAACCCCATTCAAAACATCCCCCTTAGAGCTGGCCTGCAAGAGGCAGCATCAGCTAACATAGAGTTCAATTAAAATAAAACAGCAACATTTGTTGATCAATTTCCAGGATGCATATTGAAGAGCAGCTTCAGGATGAGACGTTGAGCATCTCCCCTTGAAAGAGTCTTGGACTCTACATTTTGAGAGACTGATTTCACCTTCTGTCTGCCTCTGTATGGAAAACAAAAGCAAGCCCAGGAGTAGCATTGTGGCCTCCAGCCCTTAGGTCTAGATTTCTTATTATTATAGATACTAGAAGCATCAGCAGCAAGGATTGTTTCTAAAAAACTTCAGGCTCCTCTCTAAGAAAAAATCTACTCAAAAAAATCCACATAAGAGAAAACACTGTCTCTATTCATTCAGTATAGCAATTTAGCCCTTAATGAGGTGTTTATGACCCCGGACTCAACCAGGAGTTCAGTTTTTCTAATGACTCAGCGCCTCAGTGGTTTTGGCTTTAATTCTTTTAAATATACAAGAACAGCACCAGGACAGGGATACTAAATGAGCTCCATGAGCGCTGGTCAGTTCTATGTAGAACACTCCACTCTTGCTCCAAAAACCAATCTTTTTTCCAAAAAACTCCTGCAGCCAGGGAGAAAAAGAGAAAAGAAAAAAGGAGAAAAGAATCTTAAGTAAGTTTAGCTTCTCACTATGAAATATTCATATTGAAATATCCAGTCACTAAAATGTACAAATTTAAATAACGAACAATCCAGCATAATTTACAAATAAGAACTGGACATGAATGTTTTAAATCTCAGCTTCCTGAATGAGTGAAGTCACAGAGCTTTCCAACACTTTATCAACTGAATAAGCGGAGCAGAAACTCTGGCACAAGTCTTCACATTTCCTCAGTGCTCTCTTTACAACAGTGCCCTTGCCAAGAAGAAGGATTATTCGAAATTTTGTGGAAAGCAAATGAATGCTGAAGAAGTTCACCTCAAATGAAACTGAAAATCTTTCTGCGCTCTAAGCCAAAAGATATGAGAAGTGAAAAAGTACAGGTTGCTTAAACCGACATTTGCAGGCACAAAACTGCCTTTTTTTCCCCGCTGTCAATTCTGCTGAAGTTAGAAAATAGAAATGATGCGAA